GGATTTGATAATAATCAAATTTTAATAAAGGTAATATTTTTGAGTTCTCTAATGTAAAAACGTTATAGAAAAATAGCGGACAAAAAATTTTTTTCTCCGAGCGACGCTAGCTCGCTGGCTAAGTCAAAATCAGAAATTTCTTGGAGTCCAGGATAAAGATCTTTATGAAATAGTCTGTTTTTTATCAACTGCTCAACATTTTTTAATGCTTCTATATTGTCAGGCATTTCGAAGTTTAGATTAAACTCTGCCAGCAAATTTTCCAACTCGGACGGAACGTATGCACGACAATAATAAGCACAAATATATTCTTTTTCGAGCAACACCAACAAAGAAATAACAATGTAATGTTGATGCGTTAGTAGCAATGAAACAAATAGTGTATAAAGCGTTTCGTTACCGATCAATGCCACTTTTATTCTATTTTTGTCTTGGCGAAGCGAGCTATAATCTACTCGCTCATTCGTTTCCGCTTCAATCAAGAAATTTAAATAGTATGTCTCCAGTATTTTCTTGAATAAATTAATCAAGATGTTGATGTCCGACAGACAAAAACCTATGAGTAGTATATTTGAAAAATCATTTATTTGTTCATAACAATAGTGAGCTTTATCAAAAACGCCTGAATTTAAGAATTCGTAAGCTAAACGCTTCCAGATTAAAGTTTTCTTTTTCGGTGAATACCACCGGTTGTTATTTTTTAATAGGTCGAAAGCTATACTGTACTGCTTGTATTCAATGGCAAGGTTAATCTTTTGATTTAAATTGGCTGACCCAAGTAATTCCAAAGCACAGTCTATCTTTCCTTTGCTTGCTAAAAATCTTGATAACGCGTCGAAATTAATTTGGTCTTTATGCTCTATCTTTTCGAACAAATTAGCGTCCCACTCTCCATTTTCGACCTTTAAAAGCAAATTAATTAAATTTTCGTCCATTTTGTACAGCTGCACGGCGTAATCTTTGTCTAGTAGAATCAGATAATTATTCTGCTCCCAATATAAAGAATTAACGACATAGGAAGATTCTACCTGCTTAACACGTGGGTAGTCGTAAACAAATGATGCGATATATAAACTCAAATCGCCTTGCGGACTGATGTTAAACAAGCCGTTAGAAAATTGATTATAAATCTGGTAATTTGATTTTAAGAATTTAGTCACGTCTGACGTTTCTGCCGAGACCATGTTGTTAGTTTTTTCGTTGTGTTTTAGATCTTTTATGTTAAAAACGTAATGACTGTTTCCGTGATCCTGGCATACAAAAAGCTGCAGTTTATTGTCATTAACTTTTGCATGAAACGAATTAATATCTGAAATTGCGATTCTACCGACTTTCTTCCACGTTGGAATATGTATTATATCAATTTCGCTTTGGGTATTGGTAATCAAATAATCCCTAACAACTTCAAAGCTTACAACCCGCTTTTCTAACTTTTTTTCTGCCAACTTTTCATTGTTAATATTTTGTACGGAAACTGTTGCGTCACTGTAATTGTTTGCAATGCTTACTAAATCGTTCCCATACCATTTCATCAATGACTCCTGGCCCTCTAGTTTGTGTCGAAGCGACTGGGCAGAAACTATTGCCCATTCTTTTTCGTTTGCCAGCAAAAGCCATTTGCCGTTATCAGAAAATTGAACATCGGTCGGTCTAAAAGTTAAGTCACCTAATTTTCTAAAATTTTGGTTCAAAGGCAACTTGAAGTTAACCCGATCAAAATTAAGTGTGTTGAAGTTTATTGTCCAGATTTCAGTTGTTCTCGCTATTACGAATTGCTGACTGTTCGAAAAAGCTAAAGCGGGACGCATATTCACCATGCAAAACACTTCAACACCGTAGTCTCCACCAATAACAATCACGTCTTCATCTGCGTCAATTGACCAAAGCCTTCCTAAATGCGTCGCTATTCGAGAATGTATTTCATAGTTGTCAACATCGATAAAAACCACGTACCCGTCTTCGAGCAAAGCTGCTATTAAGTTTAGTTTTGCCAAGTAAAAAAGCTTGTTTACAGCGCTTTTGAACGAGTCCATTTTTCGCAATAATTTTTTGGAAAGTATGTCAGTAAAGTGAATTGTTTCGTCATCTGAAGCAGTAACAATAACATTTTTATTGTCGATGCAGACTGATACAACTGAGTTTATTCCTTTATAGTGCGCAGTCGAAACGTTTGTCTGATAAGATACGTTTTCTTCTGAACAATCAATCAGTTTGTTGTAAAAATCGCTTTGCAGAGCTTGTCGCCCTCTGGACCATTCGAGCACGGAAATAATGTTTTGAGGGATAGACCAAACTTTTATGGTATTATCTAGTGACACTGTTATAAAGTCAAATGAGCCTGGAGCACTCCATTCACACGACATCACGTAGTCGCTGTGGCCTTTAAACAAGCATAAGCAATCTATGATGTCCGGCTGTAAATAAAATAACTTCACCGTTTCATCATCCGAATACGAAAGCAACAATGAAAATGTTGGATGCAGCAGCAATCCCCGAACATAGTCGTCATGAATTTTTATCTCGTTAACTTTTTTACCGGTCAGAGGGTCTAGAAAATACAAAAAGCCTGAATTTCCTGCAACAAGTATTTGATCCAAAAAACTTGAATACGTCACAGCCCGTAGCACTCCGGCCTTCAGATTTGTTTCCCACGTCATTTCAATATCGGAATAGTTTTGGTACGGAAGTTTTGAAACGTTCATGTAGATTACCTTGCCTGTGTACGAAGTACAAACGAATTTGTAGTAATCATCAGCCTTACAAACGGCCTTGATTCTGTCGGAATTCAACAAGCTACTAGACTTTATCTTCATAATTTTATAAACGTAAAATAATGTAACTAAAAGCTATTCCACAAAAAAAATAGAAATTACGTCTTATTCACTTTATAGCTATGACCGAACAAAGAGTCAAAAATACAATATAATTGTGCTTCTAATTTATCAACTAAACAACCCAGCCAACTTAAGAATATCGTCACAGATAAGCAAATTGTGGTTATTCGATTCCTTGATTATGTTCAAAATATCTTCCGGAATGTTTTCCATGCCTCGTTTAGGTTCGAACGTTTTTTTTGGCGCCGACGACGCGCTCTTTCCCAACTTCAACTGTTTGTAAACTTTTTCGTAATATTTGTCTAAAGACAGTTCTTCTTTACCGCCGGCATCTTTGTCTGTTGACTTGTTCACGTTTTCGTAGTCGTCATCTGTGTTATTGTTTATCAAAAAATGCAATTTAGGCGAAATTACGGACGCACGCGACGCGTATGGCGAATCAAAATCTGTAACTTTGTTTCCTTCAAATAAATCCGTACGATGCATTTTTTTCCTTTGATTAACCGCATAGTCTGCAATATCGATGCTTATCGTGTGCGTTTCTAACGAGTCAATCCTGGCAGCGCTGCGCAAGCTTTTTGCCAGCGCATCTGTTACGAGGTCTTTTTCTAGTTCAGTACAACTTTCTGTCTCACCTACAGATGTTTCTGAATAGTCGATATTCGTAGTTGAAGCTGGTAGTTTATCAACATTATTCGTTGCTTTAACAATTTCGTCGATTACATCGCTTTTAAAACACGAAAAATAATTTATGTTTCGTTTTTTCAGCAGTTCGTTAATTGTCGTACTGTTCAACAACGTTGAAAATAAAATAATGTAATTCATTATTTTAAACAACGGTTCTTCATGTTGTAAAAACTTTTCTGGTGACGTCACCAGTATGGCATAGCGAAACTTGATCGTAGATATCAAAAATTTAGCGGAACTTATCGACGTCAGATATATAACCTTATTCAATTTAAGCTCTGCTAAACGACTATCGATTTCATCAAAAGATTCTTTGTTTTTCTCATCTACCAGCAAATAAATGACGTATTCAGACTTCATTTAAACCAACACTCAAATTTTTCTTCGCTCCAATGTTTTCCATCACTTGGGGAGTAATAATGCGCAACTACCATGTTTAAAAAAGCAAGTTAACAATTTCGTTTTCAACAAAGTCAATAGACTTCAATTCTGTTTATGAAAATGGAACTTAATATGCAAACACGCACATTACCACTATAAAATGTACAAATCAATTTTAGGCAAGTTTACATATATTACAATTCGATCAAATTATTGAGACGCGCAATAGTCATGCAAACAATAATGTTGAGTAACTCTAAATGAAGAAAACAATCTACGCCTTGGTTTTTTTCTTATGGTTTTTTGCGTTTTTGCCTGATTTGTTTGTTTTCTTTTTTGAAACAGTCGTGTCCTTATTTTCGACGCTCTTATCACTTTCTACGTTGATTTTTTTTTCCGCTATTTCTACTTTTTTAACGGTAGATTCATTCTGCTTAAGTTTTTTTATTTCTTTACTTGGCTTACTCGATTTGCTTTTTTGTTTCGAGTTTTTAAAGTCAGCACTGTTTGTTTTATTGACTGGCTTAATTACGTTTGTGTTCATTTTATGGGGAACCAAGCAGCCATAAGTCAGGTGACGTCTTGATTTCATCTCGTCGAACGTGTCGTTGACTTCATCGAGCTGATTCAATAATCTTTTTTCTTCATCTACCAGTAGTTCCAAATGCTTAGCGTATTCTGTTCTTTTGTAAGCCACTGTTTTATAGTCGTTCTTTATAAATTTCAAAAATTCGGGCACGGAATTGTTTAGTTTTTTATTTGCTTCAAGCAGTCGCAAAATTCTAGTTCTTTTGTTTTCGATTTCCACGTTGAAAAGCTGAATTTTATCTACAAACTCTTGCAGTTGCTGGCTAATTTGTTCATTGTATTCGCTTTTTACGGTATAATTATTGTTGTCAGGAACGTTTAACGCATTTAACTTTTCTATTTGAGCATCAACTGACGACTTTTGTGCTACCAAGAACTCGTAAATTGTACTTAATTTTTCGCTTTCTTGTAAAATAATTCTTTCGTAAGAAAGAGCTGGAGATTCCTTTTTTTGTTCAAAGTCAATTGAATTTTCAGTCGTTCTAAAATTGATCAACTTTGCTAACTTACAGTACAACGGACATCTTAATGTTTCTCAATATATACGCTACCTAAGATTTGTGCATGCATCATGCAGAAAAATATTTTCAATCTACTAATAATTTATAAAACATGTAAACAAAACATGTCAGTTTTTTTCTGTTAGGATTAATTGCCATATTTCTTAATTTTTTGCAGCCCTAATGATCTTCCAATAATTTTGTTAAAATCAGAAAATAACACTATCGGTATAACGGGAATTAATTTTGTAACATACCCAATTTAAAAAGGTAATGATATTTATTGTGTTTTGAATTTCTTTAAAAAAAATAGTTCAATAATGTTTAAATTTGATCTGGTAGAATGAATTCGCAATGTAATAATCACATTTGAATAAATAATTCATATTTACATAAAAGGAAAACGTTTGACGCAATGTGTGTGTAAGCTAGCTTAATAAGAGCACGACTAATTTCATAACTAAATAAATAATGGCTGGCAAAAAAACGGTTCAGATCGAAGCTGAAGTGGAAACAGAAGATGTTTCGGAGACTTCTCAGACTGTGGAAACCGAGGACGATATTTTTATAGAAGTCGACAAATTACAAGAATTAGGAATCAATGTGGCGGATATAACAAAACTGAAACTGAGCGGGTACAACACAGCTCTCAGCATAATTCAAGCAACAAGAAAAGAGCTTTTAGCCATAAAAGGTTTCAGCGACGCAAAGGTAGAAAAGATTATCGAATGTGCTCAAAAAATCGAGCAGACGGACACTTTTATTTCTGGGATAAACTTGCTGAAAAAAAGATCTTCTTTAATTAAAATAACTACAGGCTGTAACGCTTTGGACAATCTTTTGCAAGGGGGTTTGGAGGCCGGCTCGATGACGGAAATATTTGGTGAAAACCGAACAGGCAAGACACAATTTTGTCACACTTTGTGTGTTACTGGTCAATTGCCATTAGAGCTGTCAGGTGGTAACGGGAAAATTTGCTATATCGATACGGAAGGAACGTTCCGTCCGGAGAAAATAGCAAGTATATGCGAACGGTTCAACTTGGACTCCGAAGCCGTGCTAGACAACATTTTGTACGCGCGCGCCCATAATCATGAACATTTGATTCAACTCATCTGCTTAGCATCGACGAAAATGGTACTTGAACCGTTCAGTTTATTGGTGATAGATGGTATTATGTCGCTGTTTCGGGTAGACTTTTCAGGTCGAGGAGAACTTTCAGAAAGACAACAGCTATTAGGTAAAACACTGAATCGCCTGCAGAAACTCGCAGATCAGTTTAATATCGCAATTGTGTATACGAACCAAGTCATGTCTGACCCGTCAGGAGCCATGACAATGGCTATTAATCCTGTAAAGCCCGTCGGAGGGCATGTTTTGGGCCATGCAAGCACACATAGACTAATGCTCCGAGTTGGAAAAGGCGACCAGCGAGTATGTAAAGTGTACGACAGCCCGATTTTGCCTCCTGGTGACGCAACGTTTCAGCTTTCTTCGCTGGGAATTTGTGACGTCAATGAATAATTAAACTAGGAAATAACATTTATCTAGTTTTTATTTTTATAAATCTCTAACTAACTTTTCTAATAGATTTGTAACGTTGATTTTTGACTACTGCATGACAATCATTTTTCCATTTTTTTCACTGTATGTTAATCTAAAATTTGTGTAATGCCTCTTGCAAACGAAACGAGAAAAAAATGCCAGTGAAATCCGATTAGTGAAATTCGAAACCATTTGATCTAAATTTGACTGAAAGACCGAAATAAGTTTATCAACAAAAAAACTTTTTGCGAAAAAGCTATCGTTATCAATAACAAGAACATTGAACTGTTGATTCAAGTTGAAAATTTTTTTCTTGCATTCGTTCAGCAAGTAGTTGAATATGATTTCAATTAGCGAAGTATCCTCCTGCAAATATGCAAAAAGCTCAAAAAAAGATAAACTTTTGTAAACGTGAGAGTCTTTGAATTTTTCATCCGAAACATCAAACCAGTTTAAAGAAAAAACGGACATGATTTTTTCTCTGTAAATAAATACGCTGTTTTCTGGGTTAAGATCTTTTAGAATGTAGATAATACTCGGTAAATAAGAGAGAATTAACTTTAAAACACTGTGTTCACCCAATAACAATAGCTTATCTAAAAAGTGCGGAATGAAAGAAAAAGTTTCCTTCTTGTTTAGCATTGCTTCCGCTATATCAGCTGGAATTTCAACAAATTCGTTAGGTGTGTGATATAAACTATAAAGCGTTTGTATTTCTTGATAATAAGCGATATACTGTATAAGTTCAGCGTACTCAGAAATGGACTCCGTGCCCAATAGTATCGTCTCTATAATAAAATTGAAACTAGAATCTGAAATCTGAAAATTACTGTAAGATTTTTCAGTGATGAAAGCGTTAAAATTATAATAAATTCTTTTTTGTGAGTTCAGCACAAAAAGTGACAGACAAGCTTGGTAAAATACGTACTGAGTGCAAATACTGACATGATGCCCAAAACTAGAGTTCCAACTTCGGCAGTGCAAAGTTATGGAGCGATCGATCGGTAAATTGCACTGGTCTTTAAATTCTTTTGTGGTAGTCTCGTCAAAAAACCTCACGTAAAAAATGTTTTTGTCTGGAATGAAAAACGTAATTGTCTTGTAAGACATATTCTCAAAAATACCTCGAACATTGAATTTTAGATTTAAAACTTTTTTTGGCGAAAAACAAACCAAATTCGGCTTGCCTACAAAAAGATTTGTTATTTTCGCAGACATGAAAGGTAAACAATCAATTATACAAAAATTGAACAAACCATTTGTAAATTTTATGCTGCTTCGCGTGATTATGTTGGTTGTAAGCTCAAGTAAAAACACAAGTGAAATTTCATCGTTGTTCTGAATTATAACAGAATTGTGTCTAGAAAAAATAAATAGACGAAGACTATAAAGAATTGTGATTTCTTGAAGCGTCAACGAAGATTCCACCACTGCATTCAATGGGAAGCCGGCTAAGTTTAATCGCTCATTTTGCAAGCTCGCTTCTGAGCTCTTTTTATCATAAATTGCAAGTTTGACGCACGCTTCAATTATCGATTGACGAAAGCTATTTAAAATTTTACTGATTTCATTGGAAGACGAAAAATCAACGTAAGTAAAATTTCTAGTAATCGGTGCTGGTTCATCGACAATCATAGTTCTTTGGTCTGTAAAGCACTATGATTGGTTTTAAGTAATTAACACGCACTTTGAGCGCTCATTTTCCTGTTTGGAAAATCTGATTATAAAAATTTTATTAATGTTTTTTATTTGTATATTAAATAATTAAAGAAAACGCCCTTAGTTTAAAAATTGAAAGATGTCGATAGTTCAACCGACAAGATGGCTTGACAGCGCTATATTAGCGATTGTTGTACTTCTTATTTCGGCGTAAGTTTTAATTTGGAGTTAGTTGTAGTTCCGTTTTGCACGTAATCTCCTACTCGTACAGTTTGCTGTTAGCGAGCCAGTGGAAATACTCTTCTGCCGTGATAATTTTGAGAAGAATGATTAATGTAAAAAAGATCGATTATAACTTTACACAAATATTACTGTTTTCCATACTCATTTGCATGCTATCTTTCCGGCCAGACATAGAAGATGAAAAACACAAAAAAAAATCCAAATAAAAGGGTATGGAGTCCAACGTATCGGAAAAAAATTCATATCGTTTGATACACATTTGAACTGTTGATTCATTAAAAAATTTTATTTATCCAATTTATTCATGAATGAAATTAATTGACATAAAAGCTTTATTAAAACGAGCTTTGTTGATAAAATCGTAATACTAAAAAATTGAATAAATTTGATATGTAATGTTGGATATTGAAACGATTGAGGAGGCTTTTCAATCTCAGTATAAAAATCTTGCTAAAGCTCATGAGAGACATTATTCTGTCGAAGACGTCTATGCTAAAGAATTAGAGGCATGGTATAATCATATGGAAACAATAACTCGTTTTGAGACATCAGCTCGAGACCTGTTGAAAGATGGTGGCTTAAGGTCATTTGAAGACGTTTTTTTACTTGATTTCATGTTTGTTGGTTGTATCAAGAATATAAGTAAAGCCAAAATCAGCCTGGACGCTTTAAATGACATATTTGAGTCATTTATCACGATGTATACTAATGAAATGGTCGATCTTATGAGTTTCATAACCTTCTTTTCAGAAACAGTAGCCAAGTCAATGCTTACGTACCTAAAAAAAACAGGAATCAGAATTATAGACATAGATGCTTTTCAACTGGCGAAAAATGATCGATTCATCGCAGATTATGTACAGAAAGTTGAAGATATAACGACAAACTTACTTGGCCACTTTTCCACACTTGTTTATTACAAGATAGAATTGCTAAAAACTATGTCGTATGTAGAGGAACTGCAGTATAATAATGATCTTATTTTGAGTCGTCTTTTTTCAGTTCTGCAACTGCTTTACCAGTTTTTTGCAAACAAAAACGCTGCAGAGTTAATAAAACGCAACGATTTAGATGGAATTAACTACCGATTTTTCACAGCAGCTACCGATTTTGAAGAAAGATTAGAAGGGAGTTTGTTTTTTGATTTTAAAATAAACTTGTCGCGGTTTTACGCCCAGATGGAATACAGAGACATGCATTATATCTTTCGCAGCAAGATGATCGATGATATAAAAAGGATTCAAAACCACATGGGACGTTTAATCGAAGAAAGAATGGAGCAAGAGACAAATCAACTATATGATTTGTACGAATCTATCGATATAAACGAGTCTAGTGATTCGGCCAAAGAAGAAGAAGTATTGAATAAAGAAACATTTTCAAAATTAGACGTTGTGGAAAAGTTAGTTTCAAAAGAAGTACAAAACGATTTAGTAATGATTACTAAGGAACAAAGGAAACTCTTTGATTTATTGGTTCAATACTACAACCAAAACGAAAAAAGTAAAACAATCGTGAAAAAATCTGCCGATATCAGCACGTTGCTTTCAGATTTAGAGTCAATGGATTTTGGTCCTCATTCTAAAATGTTGTTTAACATTAATAATCATATTTGCAAAATGACTGACGGTTACAAAAATCCTTGGTCGAAATTTGAAAGTGCCGACAAATACGTGAAACAATACAATTTTTCCAACCTAGAAATAAACTTCAATAATTGGAATGGCGAAAGCGTTTTTATTAAAGAACCTATTGATGAAAACAGGCTCAGTTTTTACAATGGCGATTCTTACATGTATGAATTCAATGAAGACTTGGTGGAAACTTTTGAAAGCATCAAAAAAATTGAGGAAGATGTATTGTTGAAACTGGTGAACAAGAACGAATATATATTCATCAAGGGCACCTGTTTCATTATAAAGAATCTGTTTCCTTTTTACTTCATCAACAAAGAAATTTTAGACTCCTACGTCTTAAGCAACAGAAAAATGTTGCTCCCTAAGTCTATCGTAATCTCACAAACTGTCTTGAAAAATGTGTTCGTAAGGTGTCAAGATGCGTTGATCAATTTTGACTGGCTGATGCTTGAAATCGATTCGAAATGTGACAAAATGCTTCAGAGAATTCAAAACACGAACGAATCTCTGGAGCGGATTCACCGAAAAATCATGTATCTGTATTTGTTTTCAGCGCTAGAGAAACTGCCTGTTATAAAAAAATTCTATGCAGAATCCAGCCCCAAAAAACACGCCATAATTAAAAATGTTTATATCAAACAATGTGTACGGACTTTGAAAAGTTTTACAGAAGCGCTTTCTGAAAATCCAATGAAAAATGAACAGATAAGCGATAAAGAAATACAAAACATCATTGGTAAATGCAAAACTATAAGCGAGAAGCTCGATAAAATTAGATTATAGTTTAATCACTAAAAACACAGTGGATTGCGCCGTATTTGTTTGGCGTATTAGTTTTACAACATGTATTCAGCGTTAGTTATCGTCTGGTTTGAATGGTATAATATTTTGTTTTTCTTCTGTACCCAAGAATTTATAGTGGTAGTCGTTTGTTCCTGTTTGATTGGGTTTTTTCGTAGCTACCAGCACGTCGACATTTCCACAAACAATGTTTGAGCATTCAGTGATTGAGCCGAACAAGACAGACAGTCCGTCTTCTAAACTTAATTTTTCATCATAATGTGCATTTAAAAATTCGTTTATTGGTTTAGAGTTATTTCCAATGGCGTGTGCTTTCCAGCTAATTACCACACCGTTAGACTCACATTTGTAAATTCTAGGCTCACACTGATACGTGAAGCCGCAAATTAAACTAGCAACGCCAAAGGGACGCAGTCCTCCTTGTATTGTGTATCGCTGTTGAACCTCAGCAATGTACTTTGCGATATAGGTGCAATCAGCTATTTCGTCAGCTGAGAGCTGGTAGCTTTGAGCTGCATTTCTAGTTTTATTTAAAAGGACTCTAGCGTCGGCTGCGAGTCCCGAAAAACATCCGAATACTCGGTCGTTGATAAAAGTTATTTTTGAATTCGGCGCCACGTCCTGCAATTTTTGTTCTTTGCAGCGTTCGGCCAAGATAATTATATAGTCTGCCGATTTGATGGCAACAACAGAAAGGCTTCTCGAAGCTGCTTCTGCTGCGTACTGAACTTGTAATAAGTGACCATCCGGGGAAAATACAGTTAATGCTCGATCATAATCAGACATTTTCGGTTTTTCAGCTTATAGAATATTGCCAATCAATATAATAAATTTACTAAAATAAAATCTTTTCATATTGTTTATTTGAAGATTTCTAAGGCAAAAAAATAAAAAAATATTTCATTTTGTATGTACCTATATTTGTTAAGAATCTCAAATTGTTTGAAAACAAAATCTAAATGCGCTTGGAGCGCAGTAGCATCTTGTAGGATAGTGTGCTATAAATGTTAAGATTTATTTTTTGCTAGTATAACGTATATTTTTATTTCTTGAGTGATATTGAATGGCTTATTTTGATAAAAACACAACAGTGCTTGTTTCTCGATATAGGCTAAACGGAGTGCTAGGAGTAGGAAGCTATGGCAAGGTGTGGTCTGCTTATGATCAGCTTACAAATAAGGTCGTTGCGATAAAAAAGATCGCAAGGTTATTCAATGATCTAACCGATTGTAAGCGAGTACTACGAGAGATATGTTTATTAAATTTGCTAAAAAGTCACAATAACATTGTTAAGTTGTATGATATGTTTATCGATGAAACTCAAACTCTAGACAATTTCGACACCATTTTCCTTGTGCTGGAAATTAGCGACAGTGATTTACGAAAAATTTTGAAACAAAATATTTATTTAACCGAGCTACACGTAGTGAACCTCGTTTACAACTTGTTGTGCGGTTTACACTTTTTGCATTTGAGTGGTGTCTACCACAGAGACTTGAAACCAGCGAATTGTTTGGTCAACAAAGATTGCGTCGTGAAGATTTGCGACTTTGGTTTGTCACGCACTATAAATTCTGGTATTTGTTCAGAAAACGAATATCTAGGAAATAGAGCAATGAAAAAACAGCTGACGACTCACGTAGTGACACGATGGTATCGTGCCCCAGAGTTGATTTTACTCGAGAAAGACTACACAGACAAAATAGACGTTTGGAGTGTGGGATGCATTTTTAGTGAACTTTTGCAAATGATTCAAGAGAACTGTCTGGATTACAGGGCTAGGTGTCCTTTGTTTCCCGGAAAAAAATGTTTCCCTCTTAGTCCAGACGCTCGCGTTGGACACGAACGAGAGCCCGGGGGAAAGGTCAAAAAAGACCAACTAGCATACATATTCGACATCTTAGGCACCCCTTCTAAAAAAGACTGCGAACTAATTTCTAGAGAAGACGCCCGCAACTACATTAAACTCTTTTCAAATAGGGCTCCCATAGATTTCAAAACCAGATTCCCAGGCTCGTCAGATCTTGCACTCGATCTGCTGAAGAAACTTTTGATTTTCAACTGGAACGAACGCATCAGCGTTTATGAGGCGCTGATGCATCCTTTTTTTGACAAGATCCGAAATTTAAATGACTTGAAGGTTAATACTAATCTTATTCAACTGCCATTTGATGATTCTCGCCGACTATCTGATACGGAACTTCGTTCTTTATTCATCAACGAAATGATGAAATATCGGCCTCTGCAAGAAATTAATTTCAAAACGCCGTTGTATAAGCAAATCTCATCATTTAAAAAACAACAAAACAGCGACAATCAGTCGGCCAGCCCAGACAGCCAGTTACTCAATGAATTTCATTCGAATGAAGTTCGTTACAAACCGTACAGCGCGTGGTCACAAGGCCGCCACCTGTCTTTTCCTTTGAGACATTCTGCCGTTTAAGCCTTGAAAACAGAGGTGAAAAACAAAAGGCAATTCATCGGCAATAGTTCATTATTAAGATTGTATTGCAAACTGATAAAACTGTGTAGAACTCGAACCCTTTCAAAAAGCAAAACTAATTTTAATCTTAAATTAGAGCATAACTACTAGCTAATGAATCTAAAATGAAATCAAAAGTAAGATGAGTATTGAGATTTAAACAAAATACATTAATCTATTATAAATGAATATTTAATTATAACCATAATATAGAGCTTCATCAATTTTTGGAGGTAGAGATTCAATTTGTATTCCTAATTCTTTTTCGATACGGAAAAAACGATCTTTGTCATCATAAGTAACAAAATTTATAGCAAGACCTACGTTTCCAAAACGGGCTGATCGGCCGATTCTATGTAAGTAAGTGTCACTTTGCATTGGCAAGTCAAAGTTGACGACGACGTTGACTGTTGGCACGTCGATTCCACGCATGAAAATGTCAGTGCAGACAAGGCAACGAGAAGCTCCAGAGCGGAAATCGTGGAAAACCTTGTTTCGTTCGGTCTGCTCCATTTGCCCGTTAATATACAGACACGAATAACCGAGTTCTGCAATTTTTTTAGCCAAGAGCACACTGCGTCTGGTGGATGAGCAGAATATCATAATCTGATTTATTCGTAATATTTTAAAAAGCAGTTTGATACATTGGACTTTTTGCGCTTCAGTTAAGAAGACGTAGTACTGTTTGAGTCCAATCAAAGTAAGCTCTTTCATTACATTAATGTGTTTGGCTTTAGGAAGATAACGATCTACGAAATCTTTGATGCAAGACGGAAAAGTAGAGCTAAACATCAGTATTTGAACGTTAGGTTTTATTTTTTGCTCGATAAACGGCGGAAGTTTTGGGATCGCTCTTTCTGAAAGTAATTTATCGGCTTCGTCTAAAACGAGAATTTTCAAATCGTTTAATACTAGTAAATTTCTAAAAGTCAAGTCGTCTATTCGTCCTAGTGTACCAACGACGATGTGGACGTCCTGCTTGAGACGTAAGAAATCTTCCTTTAGATTAGTACCGCCAGTGCAGACCATGCAGTTTACTTGCATAAATTCTCCCACTGTTTTAACAACGTTAGAAATTTGCATGGCGAGTTCTCTAATGGGTACTATTATTAAGGCTTGTATATGCTTCTTGCGTGTGCTGATTTTTTCTAAAATAGGTATAATAAAAGCAAGAGTTTTACCAGTTCCGTTTTTGGCTCGCGCGATTAAATTTGCTCCAGAAAGTGTGTATTGCAACGATTCTTCTTGGACAGGGGTCGGGTACTCCAAACCCATTTTTGTAAGACCTTTTAGCAAATCTTTATTTAAGAAATAGTCGCTGAAAGTCATTGTACGGGAGCCAACAACGTCATATGTCCGTTTGAGAACAGGATGTAACTTTGGCATTTGAGGCTCTTGAACTTCATTTTTTTTAGGTTCACTAACAGCCTCTTCTGTTGGGTTTTTATCGACATTTTCATTAGTTATATTCTTTGGGTTGTTTTCTGGAATACTATTTAGGTCGACAGTATTTTCATTGTCAAAGAGTGATTCGGGAAAACTTGGTATGCTTTGCAATATAAATGACATATTACTGTAATATTTCTTGTATTAATTTTGGTTCAAGTTGTGTGTCTTAATATTTGATATTTTGGATTTAATATAGTAAAATTCTAGCGTGATAGAAGAATAATTTATTATTTTTTAAAATTATTACTATTATTCTAAAAAAAAAGCTTTAAATAAATAAAAGTTAAAAAAATAATTAATTCAAAATTATAAAATTTTATTTATGCATATTAGTGGTCGTGGATTTCTTAATATTATTTTTCATATTATTTATTTTGTTTGCAATGTATTCTGGTAAAGGCTCACATGAATTTGAGCGAATAAACGAAGCTGTAACGCCTCATGGATGTCCAATCAGCATTTATCGTTCAAATCAATGTGGATTAACTGTTTGTGTAATCTCATCTCCCAATCCAATAATTCGATTAAACTTTTTGGTACCAACGTTAGGATCACACGATGGTGGTGAACCTCACACACTCGAACATTTAATTTTCCGTGGGTCAAAGCATTACCCGTTAGTTGGGTTTTTGGATACAATTAGTAATATCAGCTTTACCTCTGGAACTAATGCTTATACTTGTGGGGATCGAACCGTCTACAAACTTGATTTTGGAAGCAACGATGGGTTGCAACGTATGGTTCCAATCTACTTAGATCACATCCTCTTTCCCACCATATCTGACGAGTCTTTCAGATCTGAAGTTTTTCACATAAACGAAAAGGGTGTTCATAGTGGTGTGGTTTACAGTGAGATGGAAAGTGCGATGAGTGATCCACTTTCATTAGTTGTTTATGGGCTATGCAAAATGGTTTACCCAGAAGATTGTGCATTCAGGTACAATACAGGTGGGGATCCTAAAATAATTCCAACCCTTACCCGAGAAGAGATTGTCAAAACCCATGAAAAATACTACAAACCGTCTAATATTCTTATTTCTGTTATAGGGAAAGTTGACGTAGAAGAGCTATTAGATGCTATTGCAGGATATATTTACGAGAACCTTTCTGAGCATCCTTACCAAGAATCTACTACACCATTTATGGAAGCTCACGACAACTTTCCTCCAGGCGGTTTAGTAAAACAAATCAGTTATCCTGCATCACAAAGTGATAACACCTATTACGTTGGTTTAGGTCAGATGATAGGTTCGCAAACGTCATTAAAGCAGATCCTTTCATATGAAGTATTAGCTAAATACCTTACTTCAGGGCCAGCAAGTCCGTTTTATAAGTATATCATAAGTGCTCCAGGAAGTACTACGATAGATGTTTTCTACGAAATCATTCCTTTCGGGTACTCGATGCTTACTATTCTTTTTATGGACAACAAGGCCAATACTGCAGACTTAGCTACTGACATCCTCAATAAGATTGCTTCTAAAGAAATTCCTTTTGACAATGCAAGAATGAAAACTATCATTAAGCAATTTATAAACTCAAATCTTGAGAAGATGTCGAAAAATCCTGAAAAGTGCTTGATCGAAAGAATTCAATCTTGGTGGTTATACTGCAAAAATGATCAAAACGGCAAGTCAAAACTAGATTACTACTTGGCTCATGAAACTGTTTTGGAAGACTTGATTTGCGAGAGTAACGACTACTGGCTAGGACTTATTCAACAATCTTTGAATAACAAATTCCATGTCATAATTGCTGAACCAGATCCAACGCTCTCCCAATCGAAAGTCGACGAATACACAAAAACTGTTGAGAAAAGTTTAAAAAACAATCTAGGTCGACCACTTGTCGATGAACGAAACACTGAGCTAGTTACCAAACAAATTTCTGAGTACCCCCCGATTACCAGTTTCAAGAACTTAAGCAAAGAAGACCTGGACAACTATTTAATATACGACATGATACATGACGCTTATTATACTACTCCAAAACGTCTATATTTATATGACTATAAACTTGAACTCCCATTTGTAACTCTTGTCGTCTGTCTTAACGTTTTTGACAATGAAAACTACAAAAATGAAAAGGGAGAGTTCCTGGAATTGATGCAGCTTATTAAATTAAAAAACTATGACGAAGATATTCAAAACTTTTTAAATGTGCTTGCGGATGTTAACATAGATGAAAGTATTGACGGAATTAACAAAACAGTTCAAATGATTTTGGAAAATAGAGAAAAGAATGCTTTGAAAAACTCAAACAATGATGAAGAAGAAGCCAGTGATGAATCAGATTCTGGTCAAAACATAAAAGAGAGTTCTGATGCAGACTCTGAAGAATCCGTAGAAAAGAGTGAAGAATATTCCATAAACGACATTGCTCCAGTTGCCTTGTTGTTTGCCTTAAACAACTTCCACGGGGCTCACTTGCTTCCATTGATATCTGCTTGTTTTTTTGAAAGCAATTTAGTATTGCCGGATGAGGCTAAAGACGTTTTCGGGTTGTCTAACGAGAATGTTACTCCTGAGATTTTAGAAGGATTACTTCGTAGGTACTTTATTTCTTACGATTGCATCCAAGGTAAAGATTCAAGCCATAGCTTTGAGGAAGTTATCCAATTCAAGGTCAAGATGAACGTTGCAGATGTTGAAAAGGCGCTTTACCTATTAAATAACGTTTTGAAAACAACTAAAGTTACAACAGAGATTATCTTAATTTGCACAAAACGTTTGCTAGGAGAACTTCAAGAATACATGAGACGCGGCAGCAAATTCATTAACTGGGGTTTTGCTCACCAAGAGTATAGCTTGAAGAAATCGTCTCACAACATTGATTCACCTTTTGTCCAAATCCTGCTGCTTCGCTTGGTGGGTTTGTATCCGGAAATTTTCCTACCAATCATTCAATCGATAATTGACTCTTTGGCGGATAACTTATTTGTTAACCCTGTTCAGAAAAAAGGAGAATACATTATCGTGACAGCGAGTACCGTACACAAAAACATAATATTGGAAAATTTAAAAAAGTCGTTTGAACTTAAAGACTTAAAAGAATCAACAAAATTCGAGGGTCAAATAATCAAAAACGTGTTGAATGATAAAATTGACATCCCTAAAGAAAACAATGCTGAAAATCAAATAGTAATTGATTCGCCTTCAACCGATGTTGCTCATATGTGCATCAAGGCTGACGTTACACCTCAAATGATTGAATCTATTGCTGAACTTTTCAACGTTGACTCAGACTACTTCAAAGACAAATCTAGTTTCAAATTAGAAGACTACGACGCCCCACTCTTGGTTTTGCAAGAATACTACAGGTCTACTGAAGGTCCGTTCTTTCAGTCTATTAGAGACAGCGGTGCGGCTTATGGTGCTGGTGTTTCTTTCGACTCTGAATTACATGAAATAATTCTGTATCTTACACGTTGCAGCCGTGTCGACGTAGCGTATACAATCGCTTTAAAGTCGATTGAGAAGTGCTTGGAGACCCCTCCAAACAAAGAGTTATTCTACCAAGCTAAGAGTACTGCGTTATTTTACTCTTTAAGGCTACACGATGACCCACAGTCAATCAGTTTCCAGCTTTGTGAAAGCAACATAAAGGGTATCTCTGACAGACACAGCGTGTATAACATAGGTTTGGTAACGTATGAATCGTTCTTGGATTTGCACAAACAATGTATGACTGTTTTAAAAACCGTTTGTGAAAACAAACTTATATTAATAGGTCGTAAAGATAAGATTTCGGCTTTGTTGACGACAGCCAATAATGAGTTACATGAGTCAGCTAAGATTTTGACTTCACCAATTTCCGAACCAGATTTCATTGTGAAGAATTTAATTCTAAACAACAGTGATGCGACAAAATTAAAAAAATTACTATATGTTATTCTCACTTGTCCATTATCTGTTATTTGGGGTTCGTTTTCCGGCGTTCAAGATGAACTTTGCGACGATTCTTCCGATTACGACAGCGACGATTCTTCCGATCCAATAGATTAATCGTGGTTCTATTGGCTATATTAAAAGAGGTGTCAATGGAGTTTTCAGCAAGGTTATATCATAGTAAAAAGTGGCTAGTAATAAAAAATCTAAGGTTGCTAAAGGTAAATCATTCTTGACTTCGATTTTTACGTTTTGGCCTTGCCGACACGCAATTCTCCGATCTTGTAGCTTGATCTGTACCCAGTTGGCCGGACAGCCAACAAATTCTTTTTCTCTTTCGATGTCCTTGTTTTGAATGCTACAGTACGGAAGATCGGTAGTCAAAAAAGAAATTGATCCTTTTGCTCCAATACTTGAGCAGCTATTCGTTTTTTCATTATAAATTAAATCGATTGGGCATTTGCTATTATTCATTTTACATAATTTGTTTTTTTCTGCGAGACGTGCAAAAATAGACGGATTTTTTGTGGATTCATCTGTTTGAGCGTAAGTCACGGCACATGGCCACGATAGCTTGCATTTCAAAGTCGCTTCGACTCTTTTTTCGAGATTTAAATACATAGTAGACAGCATGGAAATGCATTTATCGTCATATTTGAATGTTTCGTTTCGTTCTGCGACGCGTACACACATTCCTGCAAAATATACCGTGTTAAGCGGGCACCTAGTGCCTATCAATTCGTAAACAGCACATTGTTGCTTAGAAGAAGGTAACTTGTCACTTTTTGTTTCGATTAAATTAAAAAGGGTTTCTAGGTCGTTTTCTTTGTCATCGCTATGGCTAACTTTTTTTACCAGGTCTAACTGCTTTTCTATATTTGGATCTATATTGGGTCGCACAAAAGTAGCGTTGATCTGCGTTTTAATCGTGTCTTTAATCAGGTCGTTGTTGGGTGAGCTCGGAATGTTTTCAGATTGTTTTTTTACGTCGTATAGCGCAGAGGGAATTTTTTTACGTTCCTTTTCTACAAGATTTTTTAAATTTATACGTTCGTCAGAAAAAAGTTCTTTTAAAATGATTGTTGGCTTGGTCACGACAACTTTTCGACTGCTTTCAAACATTGTGCAAGTAGCAAAAATCAAGTTCGTATGTTTGATTTGGCTAAACTAAAATAATATTCTAATGTAAATAGCTAATTATTTTAATATAAAACCAGCCTATTAAGTTTTTTGCGTCGTTAGAGCATTGCGCTGCTTTCTGGTATTAGATTTTCTGACAAGTAAACTGGGTAGTTATTTTTTAAGTGCGCCTTGTATAAAGTCAAGGCAATCACGATCAGTATGCCGCCAATCAACGTCCAGTAAATTATTGGTAGCAAGAACTTCACAACGACCATGACCAAAAATGCTAACCAGGTTATGGCTATCGCGTTGTGGCTAGCTAGGACCGACTTGAGCTTTCCGGCTTTTCGTAGAATAGTTTCGCCTGTCTGTATGACATTGATCACCTTTGCTACTACTTCCTGACTGGCAGACCTGTTCATCTGTATTTTTTTTTTCACGAATATGCAATTGTTCGGAGCAGCGAATTATGTTTTTTTCCCAAATATCAGCACCATGGAATTTTGCTAATAATTTAGTAGCGGCTCGATCGAACTCGCAGTTTTGATCAATTTTATTTATTAATATTGATATCTTTTTTTTTGTTTTAAAGTTAGATCTCTGTATATCTTTGTGTTAATTTGGTCAGATATGCTGTGAAAATGGCTAAGCATAGCTATAATTTGGTTTTGTTTGTCAAAGATTTCGTAATGGGAGTGTTGGTGACCCTGTCGTTTGCCTACATTATGGTCGACGATTTTTCCTTTTCGTATCATGTTTTGCTTAGCCTGAACATACTGAAAGATCGTAAACGCTACTGCCGACTTTTTTCTGATGTTTCGGTTATTTTCTGTTGCGTATTTTTTTCGCAGTTTTTTGTCAAAGTCTTGTACCTGCTGAAGCTGTGCAACGGGAATGTGTTTCTTTTGAAGGAAGATAAATTTTTCTTGTTGACTTTAAATACGATTAGTTGTATTGTGACACTGCTTGCTCTGGGTTTGCATTGGTTTTTACTGACCAAACACCAATACTATAAGTTATATAATTACGTGTCGGATTACGAAGAAGCGAGATTATTAAACATATACAACAATACAGACGATTTTTTCATTAGTTCGGCTGAAACCAGTCCGAAATACAAATCAATTAGACGAGTGTTAAACGAAGGTAACGATGCTACAATGCTTACGTCTAAGGTATGATTTTAATAATGTAGCTATTGGCAGACAAAGTTAAGATTTATCACGTTGATGTTATTAAATAACGCATACGTGGTTGGGTAACAAGGATTTTTGCTGTATTGCGGATTGTGAACAAAATTTGCGTCTAGTTGTCCCGTAGAAATCTCAGTCACAGTCAATTTTCTAACGAAAGACTGACACGATTTTGCTTTTGTTGCGCTACAGTACTTATTATGCATTTGAAAAAGCGACGTTTCAACCAACTGGTTACAGCTTTCACATTTGGTACACGCTTCAGGGTGATGTCGTCGGACATGCTGGCATGAGTAGTTGCGATAAGATATCCAAGTAGGTTGCTGGCAGTATTCACACATATAAAATTTCTTGACAGCACCGTCGGGCAGTTTAAAGTTTAAAACAGTGCGGGTTTTCTTTCTGTTGGCGTACGTACAGTCGCCCCTTATTTCAGCCGTTAATCCGTCTGAATCCGTAAATAAAATATACCAAAAGTGCTCTTTTAAAAACGGTTTCTCTCTCATGTGTAGACTAGTATTTAAACAACGTGCGGTTGGTTAAAAAATGTTAGGGTCACCAGCAATTAATTTTCAGATAAACTTTGTTTGATACTGTTTTCATATGAATGTAACTTCATGGCGCGGAATCGTTTTCTGTCTTGTGCGATGCTTATTTGCATTTAAAAGCATTGTGTACTAGATTTATTATATGCTGAGATAGCTAAACAAATAAATTAGAATTTTTCTTTTTTCTTTATTCGAATACAAAATGAATGTCTTTACATAACGCTCAAAAACAATCTAAAAACAGGCAGAAACAATGTGATGATTTTCCATGGGAACAAGCAGAAGAACTTCCAAAGGTTAAACCTTTAAAATCTTTGTCGTTCGAATTTAAAGAGGACGATGCAATAAAAAATAATTTGTACGACGCCGAGGTTTACTTGAAAAGTTCGAAGTTTTCGAAACACGGAAAATTTGGTTGTTGCAACGAGTTGAATATTGATCAGTTAATTTCAGACGAACCAAACACGGCACTAAGGCTAGTTGATATCCAGGACGTGTTCGTGGATCTTCCAAAAGAAGTTCTTGAAGATGAAAAAAGCGACGACCACGACAAAAAACTAAACGATAAATATTTACAATTAGATCTCGATCCGCAAATGACACAGGTTTATAACAAAGCTAAAACCATTCTGCAGGATCCGAATTTCAAACGTAACAAAATCACCAAGGAAATACTTTCATTCGGCAATAACGTAACTGTTGAAAAAATATTGTTAAAACTCGAGAAATCGCAAAGCACAAAAATGTATTTGGAAGACCTGGTTGCGCCGGAAAAAATTTACGATATCAATGAAACTCCTGAACTCAAAAATTGGTTTTCACTGATACGAAGTATCGAGCAGCCGTTCAATCGTGATTTGAATAATCCAACAACTTTAAAGGCGAATTTGAGTTTTGCTTCTAACGAGATTTCGAGTTCTGTCAGCGACACTGTAATACCAAAACCAAGCGACGTTCAAAGTACAATGTCTCGTTCAGGGTCTGAATCAAACAGCAGCAAGTCTGGCATAGAAATAAAGTATGAACAGCTGGATGACGTATGCAGTGTGGATAACTTGTTTGACGAAATCGACGCAGACTGCTGGGAGCCCGAAAAAATAAATACCTTGATAGAAAAAGAATTTGGAAGCAACTACTTGTCGTCTCAGACCACAACTACTACAAAAACTGGTGCTAATGTTTCCATCGACGCAGTTACTAAAAAACTTTTGGACATCAATCGTACTGTGTTTAGCCATTCTGATTTTCGATCTCAACAGCTCAACGCTATTAAGAGCTTGCTTCAGAATAACGACACAATTTGCATCATGCCCACAGGAGGAGGTAAATCTCTGATCTACCAAGTCTTCGCAATATATTCGAAAAAAGTGGTTATTGTCATCATGCCGCTCATTTCACTAATTGAGGATCAGCTTCGACAGTCTTTGAAATACAACATTAACGCCATTGTATATAGGTCGAAAGCAGAATTAATGCAGGTGTTTGACGAAAACCGGGAACTTGTAATATTCACAACTCCAGAGAAACTCGCTAGCTCGGACACTTTGAAATATTTTTTAACCAGATTTATAGAACAAAACTGTATTGCAGCGTTCGTCATCGACGAGGCGCACTGTGTTTCTACTTGGGGATCGACATTTCGACCTGAATATCGTCTTTTGCGAGAAAGATTACAGTCAACGACGATTCCAAAACTTTGTTTGACTGCTAGCGCCACTACCGAGGTTTTAGCGGATATCCGCAGCCAACTTGGTTTGAAGAACCCCAGAGAATTTATTTCTTCAATTTGGCGAGAAAACATTCACATAAGCGTTGTTTCGGTTAAAAACGATGCGGAAATTTTGGAAGTCGTCAGTAACCTTTTGAGAGGCAGATATTACAATAAGGTAGGTATTATCTATTGTTTGTCACGGACTGACTGTGACACAATGGTAAAAAAACTACAGGCTTTAAAAATAAAAGCTTTGAGTTATCACGCTGGCATGACTGTTACAAAGCGTAAAACGACACAGGCGGCTTGGATTAAAGAAGAAATTAAAATTATCGTAGCAACTATTGCATTTGGTATGGGAATTGACAAACAGAACGTACGATTCGTCATTCATACGTCGTTGCCCAAAAGTCTTGATTCTTACTACCAAGAATTTGGGCGAGCGGGTCGTGACGGAGAAAAATCCGAAGCAATTCTTTACTACAACGAAAAAGATCGGGTAGGCCATTATTGGCTAGAGTTTTATTCAAATGGAAAAAGTACGACAACTACCGCTATTTTTCCAAGCAAAAACTTGCAACACGTACTAGAATACGTGGTTAACAACCGTACATGTCGTCATAGAATGATATCTAATTATTTCGGCGATTCTTTGGGAAACAGAGATTGTATGACAAATTGTGACGTTTGTGTTTCGCGGCGTAGGCCGCAGAGAAGTTTGATTTCCTATGAGTTTGTTGCAAAACAAATAATTGAAGTGGTGAGAAAATTGTCGAATGAAACAAACGGCAAAAACGGGGTGACCTTGCTTGAGTTAGCAAGCGTATTACTCAATAAAAAAATTAAGAAAGAAAGCACGTACTCGATGTTGAACCAATACAAGGGAATAGGTAAATCTTTAGGTTTAAAAAACCTCAAAAACATTTTTATACTTTTGCTTGCCAAGGATTTAATTGCTGAAAGAGTTGTAAAAGGTTTTAAAAAAACTCTATTAGTCTATTTATGCCGTGGGAAGAATCTTTATCAAAAAGAACTTCTTAGCAATCTGCAAATACATGTTGCGAACGATTTAGACCAAACGGGCGAAACAGAAGTGCTTGAGAGCGACCAGTACGAGTATGAAGTAAAATTCAATAGAAATTTTGAAAATCAGGTTAGCGACGGTTGCGACGATTTGAGCGGAGCCAAAGTTGAAGAGTACAAATTTGCAAACAGTTTTAAACAACGCAGACTCGCTTCGAATAGTGAATATTTGCTTGATGAAATCAAAATTACAAATATGTTTCAAAATACAGATATTTTAGAAACAAACAAAAGGCTTCCTAATTATACAAAACCAATATGCAGTATAACCCCGAGCAAAAGACCGAATTTGTTAAAAGTAAAGACTTCAGTACCAGAACAAAGAGATTCGTTTCCGCTGGACACAAAAAACGATTTTAAGTTAAACTGGATTGCAAGCTCAAACTGTCTGCTTAAAAGTCTCTACAATGTCCCGCAAAGAGAAGAACTGTTTAAAAAATTGTTTTATTTAAAAGAAAAATTGTCAGATCATGCAACAAACAAGGACCAATCTGTTTCTCTTGATTTGATATATTGCATCACTAAAGAATTTCCGGCTATAGAGTCTATGAAAAGTGTAAGTCAATTTTAAAAAAATTTTTAGTTAATTCGTTACCGTCAAGAGTTCATCGAGGAAATTTATCAGTTTTGCAAGGATTTAATAAATTGCAAAACGTCAAAAATATTATGAAGCTATTAAGTTTTAAAATTTAAAAGATCTTTAGATTGTACTTTTATTATTGTTATTTATGGTATTCGCATTTGAAAGCTAAAACACTTATCGTAAATTAACAATGCAACACGAATAAAATCGAACGAAGCGAGTACAAAGTATGTGCTAGTTTTGTTTATAAAAATTGCACCGTGCAGTAACCATAACTAAAATTTAAAATGAGTTCGAAGTAAATGAAAAGTTATAACATCATTGATTAACATAGGATTAAAAAAAAATAAAGCAAAAAAGTTAGATTAAGTAGACCTAAGTTTCGATTCTTTTTATTCGAAATTAGTAATGAATTGACTGACAATTCGTTCAAGCGTTTACAGCGGACTTCTCTATTTGAATAGCTAGCAGAAATTATCCTAGAATATGTCTATAAAAGTACTCGTGACTGGCGAGTCAGGGCAGTATTACGCAAATAATATCCTGTAAAGTAGCTCGCCAGGTTTATGATACAGTAAGCTCTGAAAAATGTAATATGATACTGCGATATTGTTCATTTTGACTGAATAAAGAGAACTGTCAATCAAATATATTTTATTTGTAATACAATTTTATCACAGAAAAGTAAATCGAATAACAAAACGTTAACTCAGATTTTTTTTTACGATGTCATCGAAGCCTATTATCTAGTAAATTTGTTAAAAATGATAAAAAACGCTAATAAACTTTTGTAAATTTATTGGTAGTGGCATAAATATCTAGTAAGACAATCCGTCGATTTTAAGCGGGTAATCTGGGTTTTTTTCACTGTGGATCTAATGTTGAGTTAATAAAATTATTGTTGAAGGCTTATGCCATTAATTAATCGAAATTCGCTTATGCTGGCTCAAATAAAATAAAGGCAGACTAATCCTCGATTATTTTTTGGATTTTTACAACTTGCTTGTGGATGCATCCATCTTCACTGTTGTCACTGTTAGTTTTGGGCGAGAAGTGTGATTCAGTTTTTGATTTTCTTGAAGTGAACTTGGAAGAAACTTTTGTCGGAGTTTTTGTTTTAGAAAGGCCAAGTGCTGTGAGAAGAACTTCTTTTTGTTCTTGAACGTGCGCTTCTTCATTGTGGATTTCTGGGAAAAGCAGGACGCTGTATTCTTTTGAACTGTTGTTTGTATCCTTGTGCCATTCATTTAAAGTTGGCGAATTATTGGGTTTTTGCTCATAAATGCACTTTGTCGTTAAGTTATTGGTGAGTTTCCACGATTCTGGCTGGTCAGTGTTTTTCGGAGAAAAAGAATCCATGTAAGTCTCAGAGGATTTGACTTTTAGTTCGAGATTTTTATCAGAACAATCTTCAAAAATGTATGAAGAGATGTAATCGTTTTTCGTAGCAATGTTGCACTTTTGATTCAAGACGCTTTCTTCAGCGATTTTTTTTTCAAGTGAATCGTTGTTACTGGCGTAAATCGCGTAGTCAGAACGAACCAGTTTTGGTAATGGTTTCTTTGAGCGTGCACCGGTTTTTTTCGCGTTTTGTGTAACTTCAGAGTTATTGGCCAAACTTTCAATGTGGTTACTATCTGAATTGGAAGGTAAATAATCAGACAAAGGCGAGTAATCGATCATTAAATGAGACAGATGTTTGGGATTTTGATCAAATATTTTGTAGTTTTGCGATACTTCATTGGGGAAAGTTTGAGCCAAATCTTCCTGATTTATTAGTTTGAGCTGATTTACGAATTTAGACTTGTTCGAAATTCTCAGATCATCTGTTAATTTTGACTGTGTTATAGATTCGCAACGCTGTAGCAACTTAGGTTCGTTTATTGATTTGCGTTGATTTATCGTGTTCGGCTCATTTATCATTTTAGTGTGGCTTATTAGTTTAGAATCGTTGACGATTTCAATGTTACTCACTAAGTCGACGTTTTTCTCATTAACAGCTGCGACAGGATGACTAGTTTTGTTTTGTTCATTAGTGTTGATATTATCAGGCGGATAATCAATACTCGCGATAATTAAGTCTTTAAAATTATGTAGACGCAATTTTTCTAAGCTCAAAGACTGGTCAAAAGACAAGTCCTTAATAGAGCAAATACATTCTCCAAGCTGGGCTTCGCCTTTGCAGCAACATTCAAACGATTTTTTTGAGTCAAAAATTTCTCCGACCACGTAAAGCTCGTTGTCGAACGAATGAAGTAGTAATTTCACTTTGAAACAAATATTTGGGTTCGGCTTTATCAGTGAGTCAATGTAAGTAATGAGCGGCAAATATTTTTTTCTAAGACTTTTATGTTGAGTACTTCGTTCGTCTTCTGAATATTCTAAAGTTGCATTCGCACTTGCATTATTCATAGCATTAATTGTTTGATCATTTATAGCGCTAGAACTCGTTATTGATAGTTTTCGCGGGGATGGGGATAAGTGTGTCACCTCGTTATTCATTTTACTTTCGTTACAAGAGTTATTTTGATTTATTTTTAACGCTTCACTGTCTTTGAATGAGTCACGTTCGTAAGGGGAATAGTCGAAAAATACGTAATTAACATTGTCTTAAAAAAAATTTTAGTCTCGTAACTTACAGACATTTTTTCTCATGAATTTTTCGTCGATATCCGAGTTTTGAAGTGAAGCAGACTGCGTTTTTCTCGACATGATGATAAGGTATATTTTTTAATGGCTAAAAAATGAATTGTAATACTTTTTGTACTAAAAATTTTGAGCTGTCACACATTTCAATTAAACTATAGAAACAGCGAAATGAATTTTTGCTTTTTTTGAACTAAGTAGACGCAGCGGGCAACGTACGATTTAAGCATACGGAATATCTTTGAATTTATATGTCGAATAAATTTTTTGTAATTGCGGAAAGAAATATTTTTGTTATTTATCTGGATGATTTTGACTTGTTATTATGATTCGTGTAATGTGTTTGATCCTGCCCGCGATTTTGTTTTTTTAAGATCTAGATTGGTACGTTTGAGGCAAAGTATTGTTTTAGGGGAAGCCCACTTTCAAATTGTATCCCATGAGGCCGACTTTCAAAGAGCATGAAGAGGTATTGGTAACACCTGAACATGATCGAACCGGCTTGATAAAGTTCGGACTCGTGCTGTTGTTTTTGAATCTGCCGCTTTTTAATATTGTGTGGTACGTACTTTATATTTATGTGGTCCAGATGCGGTTTTATACAGTGATGTGTCGAAAAATAACTAAAATAGGTCAATCCATCAGGATATTGATGCATAGAAATTCTGTTGTGAAAAGATTATTTTTAATTATTGAGTCGTTGAGTCCTATGTATTCGCATTATCATTCAAACACTACAACCATAGCCAATTAACAAGGTAAAGTGCATGTTTCTTCGATTGTCTGTGTTGCATGTAAAACCAAACAATAAAAATTAGCTGAAAACCATTATCTATGATTACTACACGCTCTGTTGCAGACTTAAATACCTCAATTGAAAAACTAAAACTATTTTTATCTGATAATAAGCGTGACGTACATGTGATGAATGCTGAATTACAAAGTCTGAAGAAAGAAATAAGTATCATGAAGTCTGAACGCAAACAAAGATGGAAGCTCAACATGAACGATTATAAAACAGCTAAAAACGAATACAATGTTTACCGAAAGGCAGAAGAAATTTCTATTGAAAAAGCTAAACTAATTTCTGCGAAAGCCAAACAACGTCTGAAAAACGGCCGAAGTTCTTCGTTAAAAAATTTAAATGATAGTTCGGATTCCTCAAAAGTGAAATCCACTTAAAAGAACTACGTTTGAAAATAGCATATTCAAAGCGAGCGCAGAATAAACTGAAATTGCTTGATTAATAAATTGTATTTATGTGTAATATATCGTCAGTAGCCACCGGTCTATGCTTACAAACAAATATTTATACACCCTTACAGTAACATCTTATATTTATTTTTAGATGGCAGAGGCCTTTTGCTGGTTTGCCGTATATTACCTATTTTTTGTGTGTTTAAACATTGACGCAGGTTTGCAAAATACATTTAAGTAATGGAACACTAAGAAATATATGCTCTTCTCTTTAATATGCAATATTTTTTCCACTTGTCGTTCGTCTCCAAGCCTTTCAGCTAATAATAGCTTGTTGGACAAAATAGGGTTGGCCATATAATCTGAAAAACAGGAAAAAAGTGAATTAATAGCTGAAAGCCGGAAGTTAAATAAAAAATTTAAGTAATTATCTAAACGAAACAATTGTGACAAATTGTTCTGGTTTTGCAGTAATACATTTTCTACGAATTCAGCAATGTCAAGGGAAATTACGTTTTGGTTAGACAGTTTGTGTAAAATGTCACAAAGACTGTTTTCTATTTTAAAGTAGTATTCGATTCGCGCTGTATTGTCCATTAAAGTTGGATGTTCTGAATTCAATAGCTGTAAATCATATGTCAGTTTGAGAAAGTCAATCAACTCGGTGTTGTTAAACTCAGATTCTGCGCTGAGTTTTCTTAAAGTGTGAAACAAATAATCTACAGATGCGAATTTTAATTTACGAGCTTGCAACCAGTTTGTTTCTTCGTCTAAGAAAAGAAACTCATAGAAATA